AATGACATTTGCATACTCATAATGATGGAAACATTGACTACCATTAATAAAAATTATGACATATATTCAGATAGGAGGCAGTATGGAAATCATGTGAAAACTGAATCCTCAACATAATAGGAAGTGAATAGTGTCTAAAATTTATAAATTAAAAAACACCTAGAAATATAGACCAGTTAAAAAGACTCAATATGGTACTTGCTGAAAAGGTAGGTTGAGAAGTAGGGTGGTACATGGCAGGAAAATACATTTTTTTGTTAAAGGCTGCAAACTGCTTTTGTACATATTGATGAAGCTTTTTATTTTTAAAAAGGAAAACTGGAATCATTTGGAATATTTGAATAACAAAATGGCCAAGCATGTCAAATATATACCTTTTAATCAGGTCAAAGAGTTCCTTTTTATTAAGGAAAGTTTCATGTGTACAATAGTATATTAATAGTTCTAATTCTGTGTGCCCCATAGCTGACTTATTACCAAAAGTTTAGTTTCCAGTCATCCGCATAAGGTTGGGTTCTCTTAGCCATTTCGTTCCTGTCCCTCCCTTTCTTTCTGGTAACTGCTACTCCCTTCTCTAAATCTGTGTGTTTGTTTTTGTTTGGTTTGGTTTCTTCATTTATGTTCTTTCTTTACTTCCTTGGCTTTTAAAAATATTGCATAAATGAGTGAAACCATATTGCATTTGCGTTTCTCTGCCTGATTTATTTCAGTTAGCATACTACCCTTAAGGCCATTCATGTTGTAGGTCTAAATATGATGTATTGTACAATCAATGGAATGTCATTTTTATTGAAAATGAGTTTTCTTTCTTAGAACATGAAGTAATGCTTTGGTTAATCAGTAGTATCTTAGATATGATAAAATAAATATTTTGAGTATTACTGTTAAATATATTTTTAATGACAGATAATTTATAAAAATCAATCAGGTATTAAGCCACAGATTCTGTCAGAGTTGTGGCTATGGTGGACAATTAGAAATATGTAATGTAAAAGGAGAAGTAGGCACAACAGTCATAATGATACAAAGGTATCATGGAATGAAGAAAGAAAAGAGCAAGAATCAAGATAGAGTTGGCAATGAGATGCTTTTTTTCAAATGCATATAAATATATGATTGGAAAATGAGAGTCCTCTGTAGATGCACTGAACAGAAAGGAAAAAATCGAAAGATGAGAAAACAATCTGGAAAGAATTTTGGAAAATGCAAATTACTTAATACCAAATAAAATTAAAATCATTTATAACTTTCTGGACAAACAGGTAAATATCTTTTTTCAGCAAGCTGATACTGAGAGATAAATCTCTCTAATGTACAAAGGGAAGAATCTACAATGGGCATCCAGTTAAATTTGCTACAGGAAGACAGGATGGTGACTTCATAGAACTTTTCAGGGCTTATAATGTTGCTAGTGATAGTGAAATGGCAGAAGCGTTCTTCAATGCAACCTATTCAGCTTAGGTCTCATAATTTTTCATATTCTACTGTATAAAGCACTCAGTTCCCCTACTGGAGGCCACAGACTGACAAGGAGCCTTTGGATGATGCAATCGCAGAATTGGAAATAATGAGGAAGGAAAGTATAAAGATTCTACAATCAACATGCAATTGTTACATGAGAAACTCATAATATGGACTTCAGCCACCCAGGGTGACAATGAAGAACAGAATAAATAAGTATTACAGCATGTGGAAAATGGAAATCACTGCGTCATCAAAGCCAAAGGAGCAGTCACACTCTGACTAGCCCAACCATGCTCATTCCCACCCCTCCAAAATCTCCATAGTCACTAAAAATAACCAAATCTTATTTTTACATTTGGGTGCAGCATAGGTTTTATCCTCTAATTTCTTTAAAAAAAAAAAAACAAACTTCCAAGTGTTTTGAGGGCAAAGAATAAACCTTGGTGAATTTTACTAGTCCTCATTTTAAGGTTCCTCAAGACACCAAGGTACAGGCTTTCTCAAGGTCTCTACTATTGCCTCACCAATGGGAAATATTAGGAATAGATAGTCTATTTTAAAAAATTAATCCTCCTAGTAACATAAGAATTTAGGAGAAAATTTTATTTCTGTAAGGAATATGAGATAGTATATCTCCTTTTTAAAATAATTTCTTACTGAGTTATATATTGATATTTACAGTTAACTGGTTGTTTAAATTGAAGGTCTAGTAGATATGACTTACTGTATTTATTGTAATAGTTCTATTGTCAAAATTTTTCTGAAATGTGCTGAAATGTTACAAACAACATGGCACAGATTTTTGCTCCTTTTACCTTATTTCAAAGTAGACTGATGTAGGAACCTGTACTAAAAACCTACACCAATCTTCAGTCCCTTATTGTTATTTTATTATTTGTGTGTTTTTCCTCTTTCCCTCAGTAGCATAGCAAGCTGTTTGGGGAATGAATAGACCTCAAAGGTGTAGGAAATAAAGGGTATAGTGTCTGTGAAAAGTGAGTTAGCTTCCTAGTTGTGTCCAACTCTTTATGACCCCATGGACTGTAGCCCACCAGGCTCCTCTGTCCATAGAATTCTCCAGGCAAGAATATTGGAGTGGGTANTATGATAAGGGGACACATATTCAGAATCTTACTGTTACTGAAACAAAGCATCAAATCCGCATTTCACTTCAGTGATGCAAAACCAATTTTAGAATACCCCTGAAGGGTCATAACAAAATCATAAATAAGTGTAAATAATCAATTAGTATGTCAAGACATATGTAAAACACAGACCTATGTATGTGCTTTGTGCATCTTATTTTATGTATCTTCTTGGAAAAAAGTTTAAACATCCTTTTATTTAGCTTTTAGATGAAAGAGGAAATTAAAACTGAAAAAAAACTGAAAATCATAACATTCAGAAGTCAGTGGCAAGGAGAAGGGGCTGCATAGCATATCTGTGAAATGTAGATAAGATAGAATTGAAAGAAAAATTCAGGAGTTTTAATGTCTTTATTGGGGATAAAAGCATAAAATGACAAATTAAAATTTTGGTTCAAGTAGCTAGTGGGAATATTAACTCTATATAAAAAAGAAAAAAGAAAATAGGATAAAATAGTTGTAATAAATATAATAAATATAAATACATTTATATTGTAATAAATAAAAATTTAATTATTAATTTAGAAGAATTAATAATGTTTGCCTCATACAAATTAATAAGGAAACGGCAAAAGAAATACTTATGTAAGTGGAACTAAAAATATGGAAAGAAAGAAAAAAAAACATGAAAAGGCAGGAAACATAAGGAATATGCTTAAACTCATTTGCCATCAAGGAACTGCAAAGTAAAATAAGAAAATAAAATAATTTTCTATTGCATGAGCAAATTTTATTACTGATAACATCAAATGATAGAAAAGCTGAAAAAAAATCAGATTTCTGATACACTGTTGATGAAATTTGAATTAGTGCAGCCTTTTGGAAAAAAATTGTCAGTACTTATCAATATTACAAGTGATATACCCTTTTGATCTGACAATTTAATCTAGAGAAATTTATTTTACAGAAAGATTTGTTCACATGTTCACAAAGATATTTGTATAAGGATATTTATTACATCTTTATTTATAGTAAGAAAAATAGGAAACAACTTAAAAGTCAGTTAACTTGGCATTTTATCTTATGGAATATCATTCTGTCATTAAATGGAATGATACAGATCTGTATGTAGTGAAATAAACTCAAAATACCTTATTCCTAAGCACTTTATTAAGTGAAGAAAGCTAACCCATGGGAAAATGTATACTATGATCCCCTTTTTGGAATTTTTTTTTAACTTAAGTAAATATGTATACCCATCCCTGTAAATTAATGCATAGAAAACAATCTGGAAAAACACACATCAAACTGTTTCTTCATGGTGTGGCATTGGAATTGGGGTAGGGAAATAGTAGAAGACTTTTATTTTTCATTCTATATGATTTTGTATTATCTGCAGTTCTTTCAAGAACGCATTTATGAAAACTGTGCAATTGTGATATATAGACTGATAGATAGCCTTTAAAATTGGTACAAAGGATAGTACAATTGTAGTAAATGGAAAACAGTCCAGAAACTAACAATGAAGACAGGATACTTGTAGAATAATCTCTGGAACCAGCTTGCCTGAGTCTAAATCTCACAACTATGTGATCTTGGGATGGTAATTAACCTCTTTGTCTCAGTTTATTCATCTGTGAAATAAGGGTGGTTAATGGAACATTACCCAAGTGAATATGTGTAAAATCTTTAGACCAGTGTCTAAGCATGTATAAAGCACTCCATGCATATATAAAAAGAACGTTAGCTATTCTTGGTAAAGTCAATAGAGGAGCATTTGCCAAGAGGAAATGTTTGATATTCTCAAATTGGAAATGGATGAGAAATGAAAGGAAATAACTGAGATGTTATTTTCACATTTGAAAGGACTAAACCAAGAGAACAGTCCTCAGGTTAATAAACAGCAAAAAGTGGGGGGCACCAAAAATGCTGATACCTTTAACTAATATGCAGGAAAAGAAAGAAGTGATTATAATATAGATTAATTTGTGAGAATAAACTTAAAGGAAATGTTTTCAGAATAAAAGTGTTCAGTATGTTTGTAGCCTTGCATGACATTGGCCCCATCCAAAATGTCCATAAGACATTTTTTTTGATAAGACACTTTGGTTCATGCCAAATGACCCTTGAAATTTGATCCTGTCCAACATGTTCATGAGCATATTTGGTCTGTGCCACTTGGTTTTGGATAGGAACAAATATCAAGGACCTTTTGGCATAATGTTTTATCGACAGTATAGACAGGACCAAATGTCTGCTAACTGTTGATTTCAATGGGAAAAGGAAGCAGTGGACAAAAGATGAAAGGAGAGTTGGGAGAGAAGGATGACTGGTGGAAAGTGACTCCAGAAGGTACAGAATCAGTACAGAATAGATTCAGTACACAATAGAATCAGTACAAAATAGAATCAGTAGCACAGAATAATATGGTAGGAAATTATTTCCAAATAGGATTTGAAGCATGGATCCAGCATTCTGGAAAAAAAACTTACACAGAACTGTAACTCCAGAATTTGGAATCTGCTTTGTACTGAGAGTGCTTACATATTGGACGTAGAGGAAAGGAGCAGTTGTCATGGTGGCTTAGGAGATGAGTATGGCTATCAAACTGAATGACAAATTAGGGCATTAGAAGGACAGGAGGAAATTTCAGAGCCTCAGAACTGTCAGTGAAAGTTTTAAAGAATTATGGAGATATGAAAGTGAAGTCGCTCAGTCGTGTCCGACTCTTTGTGACCCCATGGATTGTAGTCTGCCAGCTTCCTTCGTCCATGGGATTTTCCAGGCAAGAGTACTGGAGTGGGTTGCCATTTCCTTCTCCAGGAGATCTTCCTGACCCAGGGACTGAACCCAGGTCTCCCACTTTGTAGGCAGACGCTTTACCGTCTGAGTCACCAAGGAAGTCCAAGTGGAAATACGAAGGAAACTTAAATCTAGGTGTGGAAGCTTAAGAGTGTGCTAAATCAATCAGTTACAAGAAGCTCTGAAGTTTCAGTTAGATTTTCAAACTTCTTCAGCATAGGAAATAATGACATTGGTGAGATGAACTGTCTGCGTACATCTGTAAGGGATGTAGATGTTCTGTTTTTGTTGCAGTTGTTTCTTTTAGAAGTTTGGTAGCATTTTGAATAGAGCTTTCCAGGTGGCTCCTGCCAATGCAGGAGAAGTGGGTTCAGTCCCTGGATCAGGAAGTTCCCCTGAAGAAGGAAACGGCAACCTACTCCAGTATTCTTGCCGGGGAAATCCCACGGATGGAGGAGCCTGGCGAGCTACAGTCAATGGGGTCACAAAGAGTCGGACACAACTTAGCCACGGAACCACCAGCATTTTGAATACCATGTATTTCATTAATGTTAAAATGCATTCAGTCATAACACATTACATCTACTACTACTTTTTTTT